TAGTACAATCATTTCGTTACATTTGTTTTGACTTTACTATGGAAAGGGTTAGGCGAGGGTGGCCGAAAGTTTGGACCACATGCCCAAATCGGTTTATTGTATGGGAGCTACCCTTCAAACTGCGAAATCCCGATCGTTAACACACACACCTTCTTTCTCTAAGCAATAGAAAACTCATATCAAAAGCGCACCCCCAAATGCCAAATATTGACTGATTGGCAGTACAAAGTGTGGGTGGCCGGATTAATTTGGCCAGGAGTGTAGTACTCCAGAGTACAACAATCGTTCATCGCCATCCTTCCGATCTGCTCCCTACCCCTTACCGGTATTACAGGGTTTATCTTGTTTGCGCTTGACATTGGTCTGTGGAGAATCGCTTTGAATGATCTATATTATAATTATAATAATAATACCAGCGGTTGGTAAGACCAGCACAACCCAATCTGGTTGCTTCGTAAGTAAGTATTATTATAAACATCGAAGTAAACTTATGCAAAATCAAGCGTTGTACGTGTATTGTGCATTTGAAAAATAAGGCTAGGAAGCCGCTGATCATACTTTGCCCTGAATCTTGCTGTGAGGTTTGGTGCAACCTGGGTGTCCACAAACGCGAGCGCGATCTGCACAGTTTCGAGTCAATACTTTCGACGGCTCGTTCGATGCATGATGCAGTTTTTGTCGCAAAACCAGGACTGCAACGACGCCAAGCAGAGTATCCACATGTGGCCAAGGAAATTCAGTCCTCGTGTCGCTGTGGACTGTTGATTTCAACGTTGAGCATACCCAGACTTGGTGCAGCTCCACAGTCTAACGCCGCAGACTTTACATCGATTTTGCGAGCGATATTAAACGCAGCAAGGCTCCCTCTGATCTTCACTTCACTTGAGGAGAGGTAGAGCCGCAAATCCTACAGGCGTTCCATAGAAACTTGGACATGTAACGCTCAAGTTGCAGGCAACTGCAACCGGTACCGTCCCGAGGACTAGTTGCCTCCCCCCTCTCCTGAAGCGATCGCTGGCATCGCCCAGCGAATGCGAGCTTCCGTGCCGATCAGGTGCCCAAAGCGAGAAGAATGCATTCGCGCTGAATACTTGACCTGCAGCCAAGCACCGAGTCTGGTGAACCCTATCCGCGATGTACTGTTGCCATGATCTACACCTCACTTTTTTCACGTCTTTGGCAGCGTGCTTTCCTGGGACCCGCCTTCATGATGAAGGTTTCATCAGCAGTGTCGACACACATAGTCGTCCAGCGATTCATCCTGCTCTCGTAGCTCCTGCATTCGTCGCTTTGTGCGGAGGAAGATCCCGCTTGTGTGCACTAGCGACACGTCCTGTTCGCGAAACGCTTGGAATTTGTATGAGGTTGCACCTGAGTGCAACATCATACCAAATTCAAGATAAAGCGTGACGTGACACACACACGGACAGCTATACATGTACCTGCTGTGTGGGAGTCGCAGTGTCGCCATCAGAGAGGGGGCAGACCGCTGTGGTTGGTGGGTTGCTCTGGCCCTCAGTTCGAGTCCAAGCGCAAGCAGAACAAGCCCAAGAAAGAAAAAGCGAACAACAGGGACACTATGGATCTCTCCATGATCCTGAGTCCTGCCCTCGAGGAGGAGCAACAGGCGCCGCGCGCCCCTCCCTTTCGTCAGGAGCGTGAGCCTAGCCGCAAGTGGAGTGCTGACGAGCTCCAGTGTGCCGTGGCGATCCTCCAGGACTTCCAGCAACCGTCGGCCGATTCGCCCGTAGCTTCGCAGGTTGACGGCATGCATAGCCGAGATGACGTCAAACCGACGCCGTATTACATTCGTCAGGAGCAGGGGTACAAGCAGGAGGAACGAGAGCCTTTTAAGCCGATTTTCACTCGGTCGGCCGACGATGCCGTCCAAGCGGCTGCTACTGGTAGCCGCCGGGGCGGAGAGGAAACAAAAAAGAGAAAAACTCAGAAGCAGAATCCCTCTTCCGCTGCTTGGGAAGAAGACAAATTGTCCAAACTAGACCTACTAGTCCAGGCAGACGCCGTCATCAAGCGTCGCCCTACCAAGACACCGTCTTCGCCCTCATCGAACTATCTTCGCAGTGGAGTCTGGTCTCTTGCTGAAGAAGAGTACGCCGCTGCGCTCGTGTCCTTCTTCCTTGAAGGACTACTGGACTTACCCGAGGGCGTGACGCTCCGCAAGTTCCTGGCAGAGAAATTATGCTGCAACCGCCGCCGCGTCTCGATGAAACTAGGAACAGAGTCATTGGCCGGTCGGAAAATCCCTAGGAAGGTTGGAGCTTCGGTGTTTGTAGCTGCCAATCCTCCTCCAAGTGAGGAGGTACGACAGGAAGTTGATCGTGAGTTAGCAGAGCTCCGAGAGGCCAACTTCACCTCTGGACTATTGAACAGCCGCCGTTACTACGGCGAAGAAGGGGATGACATTTATTCACAACAGCGCAGACTGTATAAACTGGGTGAGTATGAGGAGGAGGACGACGACGATGCATTCCGTCTCCACCAGAAGACGCCTGGTCATGGCTACAAGAGGAAGGCAGATCGAAATGACTTCAAGCCCAAACGCGGCAAGCCAACAATCATTCGCACAGGTTTCGAGTCGCCCGAAGAGGAAGAGTTCGTCACTACGATGTTCGAGTACTTTACAGCCGGATCTCTGGATCTGCCTGAAGGCACGAAGCTAGTTACTTACCTGTGCCAACAGCTAGGCTGCACGCCGAAGCAGTTGTCTATGAAGCTTGCACCACAGCGCATGGGCGAACGCAAATTTCCGGACAACGTCGGCTCCATTACGTACGTGCGCAAGGTCACAGGTGCAGGCAATGCCTCGTCGGATAGCTCGGATGACGATGACTTCTCGGAGGAGCTGTTTGAGGTGGAAAGCCGCATCACGGAGCTGCGTCTTGCTCACGAGGAAGCGCATAAGAAAGTTCCTCCACCAGTGGCCACACCAGTGAAGCGCGAGCGTAAGCTCAGCACTGCCAGTGTATCTAGCGCTGGGACAGCGAGTGTGGCCAGTACGCCTAGTGTAAGCCCTGTGCGTGTGTTCCGGCGTAGTGGTCCGTGGTCGCACGATGAAGAAGTGTATGCAGCTGCGCTTATCGACGCGTTCTTTAAGGGTGTGCTGGATGTTGCCGAGGGAACTACGCTGCGAGCTTTTCTGTCGTCACGGCTGTGCTGCAATCCCATGCGCATCTCGAAGAAGCTCGCGAGCGAGTCCATCGCTGAGATCCCGATCCCGAAAAAATTGGGGAGCTCAACGTATGTGCGTAATGTTGAAGTGACCCCGGAAGAGCAAGCGGAGGCGGAAGACGCCCTCCGCAGCCTTCAGCGTGTTTACATACACTCGAGTTCGAGCAAGAGGAGAGGCGCCATTGGCTCCAAGCGCCAACATCAATCTCGTGGACGTCGCAACCGTTCCTTGGCGACCGCCCTGAATACGGACTCGGATGGCACTGAATCAGACTCTGATGCACACAATCTTGTATCTCGCGATATGAGCCCCGGGAAGCTCCAAAAGACTGCAAAGACCCACTCACCAGCCCAGGAAGCGCGAAGGCAACGCTTCAATGTGCCCCACGCCGGTCCCGAGCTAGTAGTGCCGGCACCGCTGAAGGAGCAGCTGGCGTAGGCTCTTGATGTCGTGCTGGGGAGACCAAGTTATAAAATTATGCATGTAATTGCCTTTCGAGATTGCAACCAGGTACCCTTCATCAAAATATTGACGTGTTGATATTCTCGTTCCTTACACCACGCACAATTACAGTGCAAGCACACTGCTTGAACTTCAAAGGTGCGGGTTGATCGCAAACTAACTCCAAGTTGTCGAGCAGGCATGGTTTGGTTTTTGTGTCCAGGTGATGTGAGTTAATTTCAAGCAAACAAAAATTCTAGCACACACAGATAACGATAACCAGTTGAAGGCCAATCAATTGAATTGATGAGTTTCGTCACCCTTTACAGGCATGAGTCTTCATTTTCTGCTAGACTCGAGTCTCAGACGCAGAAGCGGCGTTTACGTCCGCATTCTTACTTCTTACCATCGTAAAACAGGAAGTACACGCTGAAGAGGAACACACCAGCCATCATCGAGAAGGCCGAGGCGTAGTACGGGTATGCAGCGGGAATGAAGCGTTCGTATTCGTCGTGCTTGAACGGGCGCAGTGACACCTGCGTAGTCGTATAGATCGTAGAGAGACCCAGACGGCGATACATCACACGGAAGAGAAAGATACCATACACGTCGGGAGCCTGGAATGTCACCGAGAAATGACCCTTATTGTCGTGGGTCAGCGTCGTGCGCACGTGCGGGTCAAGCATAACGAACTCAAGTTGCACATCATCCGCTTTGTACGGCACCCATTTTCCATCCTTGAGCTCGTGGAGGTCCAGAGAGTACGTGAGATTGTCTTTCACACGGTACACAAGCGAATCACGCGCCACCTCAGCGTCCGGGTAGAGCGTGATCGGCTGGTCGCCACGGTTCGCGTCGCTCAACATCTTGGCCGGCTGCGAGCCGTCCTCGCGGTGGTGCTTCACGTTGGTCATGCGCAGAACGCCACTCTCCTGGAAGCCCCATTTGGTCACGGCGTCGGTAAACTCGGCGTTGGCGAAGTCCTTGTTGTCGAAATATTTGTCGCTGAAGAGATCGAGCGAGCCAGCGAAGACAAGACGGGCGTTGTTGCGGCCCTGGACGGCAGTCACTAAGCCGATCTGATTGCCGAAGAGCAAGTCACTGGCCACTACCTTGTCTGTGATGGGCTTCACCGGGTTGGCGGAGTACGCGGTGGCAGGAGCCATGAGAGCGTGGAAGGCCAGGATCTTGTTCGGCTCGAGCGACATGCCCACGCCGGAGAAAGCGACGGTCTTGGGCTTAGAAGCAAGCGATCCAACCACACGCTCCGAGGCTACGAAGTCCTTGGCGGCGATCACCGAGTTGTAAATATCGTCTTCGTCCGCGATGGGATTGACGTGGTCCAGCACGACATTGCCCTTCTTCTCGAACTCGACGCCGCACTCGAGCGCAAACTCGCGCTGCACCTTAGTAATCTTCTTACTAGCCGACAACAGCACGTTGCCGCCCTCCTCCACGAAATGCAGCAGGTCAGACTTGCGCAGGGAGCCCAGCGCCTTCTGGGGCGTAAACAGCACCAGGTTCTCGTACGTGCGCTCTCCAAAGAGTTCCAGCTCCAACGGTTGCTCCTCCTCGCCGGAGAAGAAGCTCAGCTCATGGCCGCGGGCTGTATTATACAGACAGGTAGAGCAGAATGAAGAGAGTCAGCAATTGCATCAACGCGCTTTGTGTCGGAAACATCGTCGCACCTTCAAGCAGCTTGAAGAATTTGGAGTGCGTCTTCTGCAGCTCCGGAGATTCCAGCACTACAGCAGTGCGCGCAGCCTGCGCAACGGCCAGCGCCAGCGCCACAGACAGCACCGAGATAAAGGAACCGATCGACATTATGGGGTCAAGCAGATCCGAAATTGCGGACGCGTGTCAACGTGGTATATATTTATGCCGAGTGAATAATTTTGTGGTATGTATACTGGTATACTGTGTATACATGTTGAAGCCAATGTTGACTTATTTGTGGACGCTGTGCTGAGCGCCACCTGCGGCTCTATTAGTCTATGATAGCCGCTGCTCCACCCAGGGGAGCTCGACGGATACGTCGCCTCCGTTCACCGAGTGTGACAGCGTCGCGGCGGCCTCCAGGGCTGCCACCGGTGCAACGGCAGCGGACACCTGAGGTTCCGTCACCACGGGTTGAGAGAAGTCCTCGCCGGCTTGCAGATTATGGTACAACAGACTTGTCGGTGATTAGCGAGGCGGGACAGGGTGATATCAAATCAAAAGGGCGTGCAGATACGGTGCGCGTAGTGGTCCGATGCCGACCTATGAGCGCAGCAGAGCGCGCAAGAGGGGACCAATCAGTATTTCGTTTTCCGCCGAAGCAGCCCACGACACTTCAAGTCGTGTCCACTCAGAACAGCAGCAGCAGTAGTAACAACAGTTCAGGGTCAGCTCGTGAGCTTGTCCGCAGCTTCCAGTTCGACTTGTGCGCATCGGAGGAGCTCTCTCAAAGGCAGTTCTTTCGTACTTGTGGGGTGATCCCGCTCCTCGAGTCAGTGGTAGAAGGGTATCTCGCTACTGTCTTCGCTTACGGCCAAACCGGATCAGGCAAAACTTACAGTATGTCGGGCCTCAACGAGCTGTTAGCAGGTACTGAATTACGCAACGAGGGAATGGGGGATTCCAATGCAATGGATCTGTCGGATGGATTGATTCCACGATCGCTGAAACACATCTTCTCACTTTTAGATCAAGCCCCTATCGACGTGAAGACTGTCGTTCGTGCGTCGTACTGTGAAATCTACAATGAGCAAGTGTTCGACCTACTTAATCCGGGATCCGGTGCATTGAACATGCGATGGAATGCGCGCGCCGGTTTCTACGTGCAGGACCTGCTTGTCGTGCGATGCGACTCGCTCTCTGATGTGCTAGCTGTTGTTGCTGAAGGTCACCGAAATCGTCATGTGGCGTCACACAGTATGAATGCTGACTCAAGCCGCAGTCACTCATTGTTAACTGTCCATGTTGATCGCACGGAGGTACGCGACTCAGACGTCGGAAAGAGTCACGGTGTTACTCGATACGGGAAAATGAGCTTCGTGGATCTCGCTGGTAGTGAACGATTAAAAGAAACAAAGTCCAGTAATACCGAGGAAACAAGCAATATCAATCGCAGTCTTCTAACGTTAGGAAAGGTTATCTCAGCGCTGGCATCGTCTTCTGGAGGAGGAAGCGCCACTACAACGAGCAATGGTAATTTCATCCCATATCGCGACAGCAAGCTGACCAAACTACTAATGGATTCGCTTGGAGGTCAGAGTTTGACCCTAATGATTGCATGTGTGTCTCCGTCAGCGACAGCATTAGAAGACACACTAAATACACTCCATTACGCTACCAGAGCCAAGAATATTCGCAACAAGCCAGCGGTTCAAGTGGACCCCGTCGAGTTGGAGCTCAGCAATCTGCGCCATGAAAACCATGTACTTCGAGCAGAGAATCATGCACTGCGTCTTCGGCTACAACTAGCAGGACCAATGTTAAATCAACACACTAGCCAGCCCCAACAACAGTCTAGCCTAGTATCCGTTACATCCAACTCGCGGTTACTTCCACTGAACAACACATCGCTATCCCCTCGTGGTGCAATGAAGCCGTCATTATCCTCTGTGTCACCTTCACGACGTAACCAGCTTCAGGTCCTTCAGGATGACCATGACAAGTTGACACAACGGGCAGCCGTAGCGGAGCAACGCCTCAAGGAGATTGAAGCTGAGAACAGGACCCTCCGACAGCGTCAAAACGGAACGAGCAGTCCAAATAACGAGATAAGGCAATTGCGGGAGCAAGTGCAACAGCTGCAACAACGCGAGCAGGAGCTCATGCAGGCTTTGGTACGTGTGCTATACGTCAATTTTCACCCCTTTCGACTTTAACCATGCTGTTCATGTTCATGTAAATGTTGTTGTACTAAGTAGTCTCGACGAAGTCGACGCGAAACGCATTGAATTTACCACTTCAACGTGTAATAAAATATGCTTACGCAGTACGTTTGGTGTGGTGTACATATTATATGTTAAGTACGCAAAGTAGTTTGGTCTCCATTCGGAGTCCATCAGCATGGCCATGGCGAAGTCCGATGCGTCGCGCTTGCGGAAGCCACTTCCGTGGCTCAAGAATCTGCAAGCTTCTCTGAGCAACGAGGAATCATCAGACTCGTCACAGCCGACAGAGGTGACACCCAAGAAGGTGGGGAAAACGTCAGTGAAGGCAGATGAGAAGGAGGTCAGGAGACGCAGCAAGAAAAAGCGACTGCGTCGGCACGAGGGCAACAGCAGCGATGACGCTTCGTCTGGAGGGGATGACGACGCAAAGAAAAGGAAGCGCAGGTTGCTGAAAAAAGGCGTGAAGGCTCGACATAAACGATCTATTGAGGAGTCAAAGAAGGCGAAGTGGCCTGTGGGATCACCAAGATCGAAGGCAGCAGCACTGAGGGGGCAGCGGAAGCAAAAGCTTCACGCCATGCGGATGACCTCTGGAGAACATGACAGAATGGCGGCTTTTAAACTTAAACGACTGGAGTCCGCTGAGACGCTCAGAGACAAGGACAGGAATCATATGCAGCCGGTCCGAGCAGCGCGTGGTGCACAAAAGACTGCTGGTGCGGAAGCTGATGTGGAGGATGAAGGGGAGCCTCGACGACGTTCACGAGTGCGACCGACAGCTGACAAGGATACTACAGACAACGTTTCAAAGAGCAAACTACGCAGAGCTAGCATTTCGAAACAAGACAAGCCCAAGCAGATAGAACCCACTAGTCTCGCTGTGGAGAAAATTTCAGCCTTGGTGAAAGATGGTGCAGGCGATAAAAATGAAGTGAATTCCCGCGCCTTGGCAAAGAGTAAACCTTCTGATCTAGGGAAGCGCGACGACGACAAAACAAAAGATTTGGCAGACGCCGTTATCGCAAAGACGCTCGAAGTCAAAGACGGAGATTCTGCTGCGGACATGCGAAGTACGACTACCGAAATCGCCATGCAGGAAGGTAGCACTGGGGCCATGAAAGCGGAATTTTCTGAACTAGAAGCGATTAAAGGCGCCATGAAGGTGGAGCCTGAAGCCTCTGGGGATGCTAAACGTGAACAATTATCCCACGAAAAGCCTGAAAGTGTAGACGCAGACTCAACTAAGATGGTTCCTTTTTCGACTTCCAATGAAACATCGGTTGAACCTTCGGGACCTGGATCCAAACCGATGGAAACCGATCCACTCATTGACTCTGAAGGCACAGCTGAGCTGGTGAGAGATAAAGTTAAAGAAGAGGGGCAAACAAAAACACCCGCGATTTCTGCATCGACAGTGAAAATGGAAAATGAGACGAAGCCTGACGACAAAAAGCTAGTGCTTGATGAGGTACCCATTCCTAGGAAGGCGCCCAAACAAGACTCAGCTGCACCTCCTAGCCCGGGGTCATTCATAATCCCCAAACGGAAAATTGTGAAAACTGTCGTCGCTGGGCGTAATACCAATACTCAGGTGGAGCCAGCTGGTACCATAGAGGCCACAACATGTGATGTTAAGCGCTCGTTAGAAGCGCCTATGCCCGTTACTGTGTTGCCATTGGCGTCTCCTCAATCGAGCCCAAACGTGCCAAATGATGAACCTACTCGTCCGCAGCGAAAGCGAACAAAAAATCCAGTGCCAGTGAAAAGGTCGTCGTTTTCAACACAAGATCGAGCTCTAATGCGCCTGTCCAGGAAGCGAAATTCCATCTTTATGGCAGGGACAGAACTGGCAGCTCAAGCTCCTGGCAATACGAGCAGCAAGACAGGGCCAGTGTCACGGATGATGGGGTATGAAGTGTATGATGTCGATGGGAAAATGCTACCTGATTTTATTCCTCGTTTAAGCTGCGCTACGAAACGTGAAATGGCGTCGGACCGGGAATCATACGTGGCCTCGTTTTTTGGAGTATCGCGTACGGCTCCGAAAGCGAAAACAGATCCAAGTGCTGTCAACGAGGAATGTGACGATACCGATCTTGATTCTCGAAAGATGAACTGTTACGAAGAGTTGTGCTTTGAGCGGCCTGAGGACAGAGAGTTTTACCAGCGGAAACTGTACGGCACAACGTTTGTGCCGCAGAATTTGCGCGGCTGGATGACGCTTATTGTCCGAAATGCGCGTTTTGAGCGTAAGTCCACGGGGATCCGCTTCAATCAGGATCGAGATCGGGAAGAGTTCGCAGCTACACTGAGCCGGCGATATACATTTAAGAAGTCGATGCCACGGTGTGATATCCCTCGTGAGAACTGGCAGAAGCTAATGAGCAATAAGCCAGCCACCGTGTACCTGCACTATTACAACCGCGAGGACGCTGAGCGGGCAGCACAAGTCTTTCGTGACGACCATGGACAACCTCTACAGATTCGATGGGAGTTAAAAGCTGGTGCGAGAATCAAAAGATGCTCTTCTCCGGCCATCCGGCCGAGGCCCCAACTTTCTCCACGTCGCTCTTGCTCCAGTGAGCGGAGTGCGCCTGATTCATCCCCTCTTTCTTCGCATAATGGCAGCGCGCGTAACACTCCGGTGTGGCGACGTGAGCGTGACACGACTTCGAGAAGAGATGATCGGTATTCAAGATACGACCGTGGCGCATCGCCTGCACAACGGTCAAGGGAAGAGAGTCGAGAGAGGCGATATGGCCCGTCCTTGAGCGGAAACAAGCGGTCGCATGGCTTGTTAGAGCGTAGATCTCGATCTCGCTCAAGATCTAAGTCATTCCACAATCAACACTATGAATCCTCTGGTCAAGTGAACAGAGCTGGGTCAAGGGCTAGTGGATCAAGTAACCAGCACCCACGTATGACAGACAATCACGCAAGAATCGATGGTGGAAATGAAAGCGCTAGTAGTGCTGTTCACAGCGATGTGGGCACGCCAGCGCAGAAGCGAACACGATTGTTACCTCGTCGATTTCCACCCAGTAGTCATGACAGGAGTGCAGGCAGAGGTAAGAACCAGGGTGACCTGGGAGGCAAGGAAGTCAAGAGCAGCTCAGTGGCAGCGTCGAATAATTCTGTGGGAAATTTGGATGGAGGTGACAACAACCGAGGAATGCCGCGTGCTCGATCTCCACCCAGACGGTGGCGGGAGGAACCGAACAATCCAACGCCACGAGAAAGACGGAATACCTTCACGGTTGATTCACGAGATCGCTCAAAGGGCCCGCCTGCTGGACAACACCGTTCTAATCAGCAGCCACACAATCGTGATCCAGTTCAGGGACGACCTCGATCATGTTCGCGCCCCAAGACTTCTTTGCCTGCGCGTGATGGACATGGCGGTGACCGTGATGGTCGGAATAAGGAGCGAGTCGGCTCTCGAGAGTTTGGGCGAGGCGGTGGCTTTAATCGCAATGCTCGTGAAAGGCGTATGCATTCCGATGGAGGACGCGAAGGACACAATGATCGCAGCGGAGGCGTGAACTCACGAGCACCCTAGAAAGCTGTTTATTACGAAAGCATGTGCACTTGTACTTCATTCAAGCATCACGTTCTCTCTCCTACCCTTCGCTTATCTCCGCATCTAGCTCCTGACCTTTACGAAAGAGGAACTCTGCCAGGTAATCAATTGGGTCTGTGGGTTGCACCTTGACGACTTCCAGCATCCCTTCGGTCAGCGCAGGCAACACTGTGTCCATGAGGTACGTTCTTAGTGGTTTAGCGCGTGTTTCAAGCAGCTCAGCCTCTTCACGTTGCAGGAGTTCAAGTCGTGCACGTTCCCGAGCGATTTTTGCCTGCTGGACGGCCTCATCTTGGGCATCCTGCTCACGTGTGCGTTGCGCAGCACGAAGTTCAGCTTCACGAGCTTGTTTCTCCGCAGCACGGAGCTGTTCGCGCACTTCTGCCCCCGTGGGATGAAAATTCCGTGGTGCTCGACCACCTTGCTCCATGTAGCGCTGGATGGGAACAACAAAGGCCTCATCCTCGCGGTATCCGTGCTCGTCCCGCAGAGTCAGCTCCAGAACTTCCACGCCTTCAACAGGGACCGCCTTGGCATCAGTTGGCTTCTTCGGCTTCTCGAAGAATGCCTCCAGGGCTTCAATGTTGGATTCAAACTCGTCGAAACGCCGAGCGAATGCGTCTTGGGTGTTCTCCGTGCGCTCGGCCTCAGCTTCTGACAGCGCTTGTGCACGTATCTCAAGCAGTGCTCGAGGAGCTTGTAGCACGATCACTCGGTTCGGTACTTCGACATTCTGTCGGGGCTTCAGACGCGCCAGCAGTGCTTCAATATCCACCGCGGGAGCGGCAGCTACCCCATTAGCATTCTCGTCTCCATTTGCTGGTTCACCACCGTCTGCTCCATCAATTGGGTTGCTGGCTCCACCATCTCCAGACTCATTAGAATTACCTTCTTCGTCAGCGTTGCTGTCTTTATTGGGCTCCTGCATGAAGATTTGTTTTGCCTGAGTTGCCGAGATTGGTAGCCCGTCTAGCACGTATCCCTGGTTACGGCATGCAGCACTCCGAAGCTTCCAGCGTACCAACGCTATCAACGCGCTCTGTGGAAGTTGAGTCGTGTTTTCGCCGGAGCTACCAGCAGTTGGAACCCATTGCTGTAACTCTTCTCGCAATTTGTGTGTCTCCTCGTCTTGACGTTCAAGTTGGGTGGCGACATTGGTCTTCTCGGATGCAAAAAGCTCGTGCAGTAGTGTCGATGGAGACAGATATGGCAGATAATAATCCCTCGCAAGCTTCCGGCTTAGCGAAGTTTTACCCGCTCGAGGTGCGCTGAGAATGACGGTGCGCAGTGGATGCAGATCCATGGCATGAATGAAGTCGTCGACAAAGAAGGCCAGATTTCCTAGTAGTCCTCGTGAATAGTGGCGCCATTCTTCTGGAGCCACCAGCGTATGCATCGCCCCAGCGGATGTATCGAAGCGCAAGTGGACCTGAAGTGGTGTCACAAGCTCCTCCTCTTCGTCCAATAGTAGTGCGTCTGCTTCAGCGTCGTCAGCATTAGCCGAGTCGTCACGGTCGCGTAGACGCCCTGAGGCAAGCAATGTGCTAACCCCGCGACACACGTCACGAAGCGTTGTGCTACCACTAACTCTATCCACTGCAAGCAGATATTTTTTGGGGGACGGTAACGGTGAGGCTGCCACACGGAAAACTAGCAGCGCCAGATCATAGAGACTGATCATGGGCAGCAGATTGCGACCTTGACTGGTAGGCTGAGCTGATGTGGCGAGACTTGGCACCAGTAGTGGCTGATCCGGATGCAACCATGCCTCGCGAAAGATCAATTGCAGTTGGGATTGAGCACCGCCATAAATTAGTCCTGCTCCGACGATGCAGGTTTCAAGTTCTCCGGTTCGATGCGCACTCAAGATCAGCGTTTCAACAGTTTTGAGGTCTGTATACTTGCGTGCAGGGCGTCGCGACTTGAAGTCGTCCTCAACATGTCCGGAATCGGTCCCTGAAGCTGCAAACGGCGAATTTTTGCTCCACGAGAGCACAGAAGACACTGCAATAAAGCGTTTGACGCTTTCGCCACCCTCGTCGTCTTTTGCTTCGTCGTCACCTTTATTTGCATCACGCTTCTCGAAGACCTTCAGTGTCTCCATGGCCAGCTTCGGATCGGCTACCAGCGAGGTGACCACTACTACGTCGGCATGCTGCACAAGTCGACGCCATGCTACCGTATCGGTTTGTAGTGCGACAGGCTCTTTGACAGCTCCAGCGACGTCACTACCCGGATGGTTCTGCAATTGGCGTTTGATCGCGGTCATTTCGGATTTCCCACCCCGGGCGGCAGTACCGATGACTTCAAGACCAGCATCTTGACAATTCCGTGCCAACTCCGTCGATAAGGACGAGCCCAAGTCCGTGATGAAAACGCGCATTCTTACCACCAGTGCGTCGTTGCAGCTTGACGATATCAAGTGGGTTTTGAGGTGTTGCTGTTACAAGCGAGAGTCCCTCGTGGTGGCGGTTGCAGGCATTCGGATATTTTTGCGTTGATGGCGTCCGCTACACGTTGCATATAATAGGATAGAAACGCAAGAAAATAGTGCTCGGTGACTCAAGAGTTCTAAGACATCACGCCACGTTGTCGGATGTACATGCAGTTGTCGATATAGTAAGGTTAATTCACACCGGTGACAATGAAAAACGAGCTCGCGCCGCTTTCCACGAACCCGAAGACCATCTCGTCTTCATCACATCCACGACAGCGCAATGGTACGTCGAGGTATTTTATTGCATGAATGAATCCTGATCTATTTACTAGTTTTTTTTTCTTTCCAGTCGGTATTCTCGAAGTAAAAATGAAGCATCGACTACAAGAAGACCAGAAGGCTGTAGCGGTGGGAGTTTTGTCTCGGTCAGGTAACCCACAGCGCCATCACTCCAAGAAGCCGCAGCGACTACCAAAGCTTTCTTCTAAATCGGAGCCAACACTCGACACACGACCGATTTCTTTCGCGACGGAAAGAGGCCATGTCATGTCAGACCTTCATCTTCCATCGCCTACACGCTCGGTCATTGATCGTCACGTGCAAATTACTAAACACACCACTCAACTGGCTCAAGAGGCGCTCCCACCAATAGCAGGAGCTTTCAAGAAGCGTGGGGTGCCTGCTTCAAAGTTCCCCCAGGCCTACGCACGCAACGAGTTGCCTATCATGATCGAAGGTGGCAAGGGTGGCGGGAAGTCTGGGTTACGTTGGACAGCTCCAATGGAAGATTTGGATTTTAATAAGTACTTCCCCTTGTTTGTGGACGGCATGCGCGAGAAAACGTTCCCATTCAGCTTTTTGGCCCGTGAAGGTGCCTTTCAGCTAGCTGCTTTTGCCCAGCGATACCCTAACAAACTCATCGACTGTTTGCACCGTGTGATTCCGGCACTTCGCACAAACTTGGAGACCCGTGACGATGGAGCATTGCGAGATGCGCTGCTATTGTTACAACAGATCACGCAGACGGCAGGTGTGGGCCCGTTGCTGGTACCTTATTACCGGCAAATGCTGCCAATTCTGAACCTTTTCAAAAGCAAACGACGAAATCTCGGGGATGAGATCGATTTTCGACAGCAACGCTCACAAGATCTCGGCGAGGTGATCATGGAAACGCTTGAGATGCTTGAACGAACAGGAGGCGATGACGCGTTTATCAACATAAAGTATATGGTTCCAACGTACGAAAGTGCGTTAAGCTGACAGCGATAAACTACTAAAACACGGTAGAATTAGTTTTCTTTCGGTAAGCTTTTATAATGACGCGCCCATCACATGCTCTCGTCTTCTACAGGTACTGGTACAAGTGTTGGCTGCAATTTGTCAAGTTCAGCTTGGTGACGTTTGTGGATGCGCTGAATCTCGTCTTCGCATTCTTTTACCTTTTCACGCAACTCCTGTACATGAGCACGCAGCTTCTCAGTTTCTTCCGCATGCTGACGCTCGCGCTTTTTACGTGCAGAGGGTAGATCCTCGCGCTGTATGCGAGACATACTTTGATACTGAGCACGGATCTGCTGTAACTGCTCCCGCATTTCGTTGCCGATTTCTTCGCGAATACGAACCTCCATCTGCATCTTTTCAGCTTGGATCTGTGTTAATTGCTGTCGGAGTTCCTCATTCTCCAGCTCCAGTTTGGCCTGTACATGTATTCCATAATTTCTGTAAGCAACACCATCGACAATAGACAAAAGACTGACTACGTACCCAATGCAGATTTCTCTCGGCGACCTCTCTTTGTGACTCCATTGGTGACGTCGCTACTTCTGCTGTTGTCGGCTTCGCTACTGGAGCTGCGAGCGAGCGATGCCGACGGCGAGCAGAGTCACTCTTTCGACGCTTGACCTTAGGCCTGGGCGGTGATGAAGCAGTAGCTGCTACCCCTCGATCCACGGGTGCTTTCGATGCTTGTGTTTCGAGTGCTTCCATCAACTGCCGCTTTCTCTTCTTCAATCGACCATCCAGGTCGTAAAACGTAGCTGTCGGAGCAGCTTTCCTAGGGATGGATGTTCGTGTCCTCACTAACTCCCGTGCAACGGCGCTGTATTTCAAAGTACGCAAAGTCTCGTCAAACTCATGGCTGGATGGATTCACTGCCACAATCATCACCAGGGGACCGTGATCGTTGCCCACAAGATTCTCCTGAAAAAGTCGCGCTAGCTTGGACTCACGGAACGGGACCATCTTTTGTAAGCTCGGCGGGTGTTGCTGGTTCCACCTCAAAGTCTCCAGACAACGCATCAGGTTCATCAACGAACCATTAATCTTGCTGGCCTCCTGCATACGTAGCCCCGTTGCACCGCTCTTGGAGCCTCGTTCAGACCCTGCCAGATCAACGATCGACACCTTACTGCGCAGCTCCGAAGAGAAGCGCGATGTCTGGTGATACAAATGAAGCGTGAAGACGCAGTGACTACGACTTGAGTCCGAGTTGTAGTTGGTCTCGGCCACCTGCTTATGTCGTCGACCCATTTCCAGCAGCTCCAGACCTTCCTCCAGCGTTTTAATGGGTTTCTCTACAGCTCCTCGGACCTGAATTTTGCCGTCGCAGTCCTGTACACGTAGCGCTCTTCTCTTCCGAATTGCAGGTGACAACAAGTCGAACACGTTCTCGTTGTAGATCTCAAGGTATGTGGCTGTCACTTTCGTTATCAGTTGTTTGTCGCCCTCCTTGCGCTTGGGTAGCTCGTCCATCACGTACTGTAATGCCTGTGGCAGCACACCGGGCGCTTCACTCGATCCACTGATCGTATACGTCTTGCCTGAATTGGTTACTCCGTAGGCAAAGACGAGGCCGCTCTTTCCGTCGAAGGCCGCGTCCAGCACGGGTCTCGTAGTGGCCTCAAACAGCTCCGTCTGCTGTGTCTCTTGACGGAAAATGCGCGAGAATTGGAAGCTCGTGGCCGTCCCAGTCGAGCGATAGGATTGCGACGTCTTAGGCGGTTGAGCCAGTAGCGACACGTCCGACAACACCCGAAAACAGTCGGGCTCCGTCTCGTTAGAGGCCGCTTCGAGCGGTCTGAGACGAATAACGATCTGCACCTTGTTGGTATCCATCTTGGCCTCCTGCTGCTGTTCCAGCTCCTGCTCTGTGCCGTCGCCTTGCTGTTCCTCTTCTTCTACCTCTTGTTCGTCCATGATAGCACCGCTGAAGCTGAGTTTGCGTACAATGGTACCCACTTCTTTTGCGGCGAGCGACGGTGTATCACTCGTTCTAGTGCTGCCGTTGTGCGCCTGGCTAACGTCCTCCCCAGACGCAGCCATTATAAAGTACAACGAGAAAGTGCGCGAATATTCAAATTGAGGATTCATAACATGGTACTTTAACTCGATATAGTGACACGTCAGTGAAATCTTAAGGGGGTCAAGAGCTGACAGAGACAAAATGACGCTGTCAAGAACGCACACGCTGCTATTCGTGCTTGCCACGACGGTGCTTCTTGTGACCTTCGCCTCCGCCGACCCTCGTGAGGTGGAGAACGCTGAGTACGTCTATGTTGAACCCTGCAACTACTGTCCTCGTAGCTTTACTGTAGCCGTAGATCTGACTGCCCATTCATGTGTCTTTAGACTCAAGGAGGAGTTTGGCGACGATTTCGAGGACGAGCGCTCCATCCCCGCGCTCGGTGAGCTCGAGCAGCGTCTCAAGTTCGATTTGGAACACCAACTGGCTGCTGGTGCGCCCTTCACACCACGCGGCGTTGTGGAGATCGTGGCCAGCGCTTCGTCCCCCAAGCCCAAGGTCTCGTTCTCGGCATTACCGACGCTGAGCGCCGACGACGTCGAGAAGATGGAGACACTGCTGCACCAAGATCGCCACTACACTGTTCGTGCCAAGGCGGACCCGGCCGACCCGGAATCGCCCTACGTCATGACATCCGTGCCCATGTGTATGCTGGCCGCCATGCGTCTACGCGAGGACTTTGCCTTTCACCTCTCGGATAATGGCAAGCTCGTGGCCATCGAGTACCTCACACCGTACCTGGATAGCGATGCCTGTGCTGAGTTCCAGTCCCGTAGCCTCAGGGACGTGCGCTTCGGACCGTTCGGCACAGTTTTGAAGACGCAGGCTGGACCATCGTAAGTGATCATGACATTCTAGTGGGCATACCGATCTGGCTCTGACTCGTGCGCTTGTTTTGATAACGTAGACCTCCGAAGAACATTGTGGTCAAGCGCGACCGTGCTCCACAAGGCGTCAAACCGGTGAAGAGCGAGGATGGCAACGACGAACCCGAAGAGGAAAACCAATCCTTCCTTCGCAGATACGTACGTGCATCAGAAGTCTGTGTCTAGCTAGTATTGTCTGCTGATCTCAGAAACTCACATCCATTTTGTGTTTGCTTTCTGTAGTGGTACATTATTTTGCCTATCGTTGTCATGAGCCTGTTCGGTGGCGATGGAGGCGCACCTCCGGCCGGCGGAGCCGGTGGTGCCCCTGCTGCTGGTGGTGGAAGACGACGATAGATCACTGGACGAGGAACAGAACATGCATGCATTGTGCAGCTTCAGCTCGTTCCACCCACGGTCAGTAAGGTGTCACAGGTAGCAGAACAGAATCTACATTCCAGACTGATGGTTGATATCTCTGAAGCCTTGCACTTATCATTATACGATCAAGCTGGTATGCTCCTCTTCACTCCCTTTTTCCTTCTTCCTCAGCACAGTTCCAGGAGCTGGTGGCCACTCGTGGTTCGTCACCAATCGCCCCCACAGTGTGTGGTCTCCCGTGGACACCACCACAGCCACAGCCGTTCCTTGCAGAACACTCACCGTCATGGGGATAATATTACCACAGTGCAAAGGATCCTGCTGAATATGCGGCGGTGGCGTGTCGGTCGTGACGTGTTTCCTGGTGCCTCCCTGTCCGGCTTCCTCGTCTTCTCCGTCGTCGCCCATCAACGTCGTTTGGTCCACTACGCAATCGTTCGAGCACTCGATGACGCGCAGATCAGCTCCTGCCACATCCCCAGCCTTGAGCTCCACCACGTCTCCGTACACAAGACTCATGGCGTCCATCCGCATTCGTCGAGTGGCCGGCTGACCCTGCCCTGCAGCAACTCGACGACGCACCGTCGCCTCACGTGGTAGCGCCTCTTGATATGCTTGCATGGAGGCTGTGCGCATGAGGCACGGCAGTAAACAGCAGACCCAAGACGGGCAGTTCACAGGCGGGGTCACCCGGTTCACACCGTAGAGCTCGCGTCGCGTCATGGCGTCGTCTCGAGAGAGTCCGAGGGCGGGGTCCACACCCACCTCCGCCACAAAGTCTGCCACATTCGCAGGTCGTTGGTAGTCCTAACACAGGAGGCAACAGAAAGAAGAGGGTCAGGTGAGTAAAAAGCACGCGTGGTAACGGAGAGCTTCAGTAGATCGGACACCTCGAGCTCTTTCATAGTTCAGATCCGTTTTGCAATCTGATTTTTGTCAAATCTTATTAGGATTATTAACACTGAACAAAGAAATATACTACAGTAGTACTAAATTGAAGCAAACGGTCTGAAAAACAACACAGCTCAACCTATACCAGATTCTATAGCAGTCACCATTATATTTCTTAATTGCACGCTGCAATACATGCAAACTCGTCGACAACAACATACAACTGCTTCTTAAAGGTCCTGATGCTGCTTGAAGCTGTTGGTGGTGGCTCACCTCGTTCACTTCTCCGATCGAAGCTTGCGGTACGCCTTCTGAGAGGTGGAAGTCGTGCCGGCCTTTGCACCAGCGTTCGCGTTCGCATTCGCAGAGGCGCTTGCAGTAGCACTGGCCGACGCACCACCCGTGCCGGTCGACGTCTTCGCAGTACTGGCTCCACCATCGCTCGTCACGGTCACAGACTTGCTCGCGCCGGTTCCAGCACTCACATCGACACCGTCGTTAACAACGGTGGTAGGTGCACCGACATGGACACCGTTCACTCCAACAGCAGGAGAAGCACCCACACCAACACTAGCGACACCCGGAACGCCCACACCAACACCAACGCCATTCACGCCAACTCCAACGCCGTCTACTCCCACGACACCAGGTACGCCCACACCAACGCTAGCAACGCCCGGAACGCCGACACTAACGCCTGGACCGACGTATCCGGGGGCACCCACTCCGACGCTAGCCACACCTGGAACACCCACTCCGACACCGACGCCAGGGACACCGAGTAGTCCGAACGTCTCGGCCACTTGCTGTTCGGCGTGTGCACCACTTGAGAGAGCCACAACGGCGATGCAGAGAGCGAAGATCTTGTTGTTGCTAAACATGGTTGTTGAAGAGGAGGCTTGGTCAAATGAAAAGAGTAGAGGTCTTGCTCTTGGGGAAGTTGGTTCGAGTGGATGAGCTCGAAGGAGTGAAATTGAGAATGGAGGTGAGAGCGGCATGGGCAAGGCTCGAGTGGTTTGCGTGAGGCAAGAGTTATGAGTAGCCGATGGAAAAGCATGGGCGGTGTAACTGGCAGCTTAAGCGATCTTCTTGTGACGATACGGAGTCTCATGTGTGTAATTGATAGGTGATAGAGTGAGTCTCTGGAGTCATGGGGTCCAGTACGGAGGGCACCTGTTGTACACATACACGATCATTTTGGTTGTAGCAGCGCGCTCGTTATCCAGAACGACAAATTTCTTGATCTCTACATCTTCTTATCCACGTTCCTTGACTTCCATCAATTCAGAAACCAGCCGAGCATTTACGGGCACCATACTGATCGATCCTGTTACATGAAAATGTGAGTCCAAGTATTGCAGTTCTTATTCAACCGCTTTTATACTGTGTATTGTATGCCCTATGTTGAAGTTGACTAGTGACATGGAGTATGCGCCTGTTCGAATTGACACTACGATTTGCATCTCGGCTCGTGGCCCCTAGACGATCGCTGCAACCTCTGTTTCAAACCATGTCCTATACTGACTCAGCACCGCCAAGATACGGAAAAGGTTGGAAATCTCTTTGTTCAATCCATGCAACGCTGGTATTACCAGACCATTCGTATGGATCCCTCTGAGATTCATCATGAAGAATTCTCCCTGAACAACTTCACAGCATTTGACTGGTCCCCCACTCAAACCTTCCTTGCAGCAACTCACTCATACATCATTCTCAAATTCACTCCTTCGAGCTCATCCACTCGAACCAACTTCCCCAAGAGCAAGACCTCTACTCTTTTCATTTGACCAAGCCTCCTCTTCAACAACCATGTTCAGCAACAACAAGATCTTCGCTCTCTGCATCGCCGCTGTGGCTCTCTCAAGTGGTGCACACGCCGAACAGCAAGTGGCCGAGACGTTCGGACTACTCGGTGTCCCTGGCGTCGGTGTCGGAGTGGGTGTTCCAGGTGTGGCTAGCGTCGGAGTGGGTGCCCCCGGATACGTCGGTCCAGGCGTTAGTGTCGGCGTTCCGGGCGTTGCTAGCGTTGGTGTGGGCGTACCTGGTGTCGTGGGAGTAAACGGCGTTGGAGTTGGCGTGAATGGCGTTGGTGTTGGTGTGGGCGTTCCGGGTGTCGCTAGCGTTGGTGTGGGTGCTGCTCCTGCTGTTGGAGTGAACGGTGTCCATGTCGGTGCACCTACCACCGTTGTTAACGACGGTGTCGATGTGAGTGCTGGAACCGGCACAAGCAAGACTGTGACCGTGACGAGCGATGGTGGAGCCAGTACTGCGAAGACGTCGACCGGCACGGGTGGTGCGTCGGCCAGTGCTACTGCAAGCGCCTCTGCGAATGCGAACGCGAACGCTGGTGCAAAGGCCGGCACGACTTCCACCTCTCAGAAGGCGTACCGCAAGCTTCGATCGGAGAAGTGAACGAGGTGAGCCACCACCAAAAAAAAAAAGCCACCACCAACAGCTTCAAGCAGTACGTGTAGACAACAGCATGCTATGTATCGGTGTCGTTAGTAGTTGCGTTTGCGTGTACAACAATAAAATACGTAGTTCTTTTGAAGGCTGAAGCAAAACTTGTTGGAATTTTATTTTTTTTCTTCAGATATCCCTAGTGCAGTTTCCCATTGCGATCTAAAGCGAAATTCTACAGGCGACCTTTATAACGAGCCCGGTGGATTCTGCTGGATGCTGCCGTCTCTATTTATACGAAGTACTTGTCTAAAAACTTTACGATCGCCATGTAAGGCGAACAAAAAGTGGATATCGAACGGTTTGTTGGCCAGATTCCTAGTCGTGGAGATGATCAATCTCGAATGAGACATCCGTATCCATGAATCTGGGTACAACATTGGTTTGGTATTGGTATCATCAGGCCAGGAATCGTACTAAAACGAAAACGTCATGGTGTTGCGGCTGACGAGACAACCAGCGTTCTGGAATTGGTGCGAAAAAAACTATCGAGCGCCGCTCGCCAACTACTCCGTTGTCAACGAATTGCAATTCCGAGTCGGGCGAGATGGCGAAGTTGAATACCAATTAGTTGGGGATATGGCATCAATGCCACTTGGTATAGTCTATTGTGAATCAGACCTGCGCCGGTAGAGATAAAATACAAAACACAGGAACTCGAAACTCACGCGCACCTTGTTCACCTTCTTTCTAGATCTTCAGGTCGGATGTGGCACTTCTAGCGCTTACATAAAGTCATCGTAGTCATCGTACGTGTCTTCGTAGCCAGCATACCCCTTACCACCAGCACCACCGTTGCCAACGTTACGCTCGACATTAGCGTAGCCCTGCTTGCCCGTCTGCTTCTTCTTCTTGCCTTTAGGCTTGGCTGCCGCAATCTTCTCATTCTTAATGACATTGACGATTGTTGTGATCTCCTTCATGTCATCAGCCGTCAGGTTCACCGACGCCTTCGTGAGAATCACCTTAATACACTCAAGAGCATACTTGGAATTGGACGTAGCCAACCGGGACGACACCACGTCACCCAGGTGCTCGTGGTCGGCGAGTGACAGCAGACGCATGGCTGAGATGGCACTATCCGCGTCATCAGCAGTGCCGATCGCGGGCTTGGGCGGTGCGCCGGCAAAGGCGTCGATGGCCATCTCGAAGTCCGCCTCCTCGATAGAGGCCTTCTCGCGGGCTCGACGCTGCTCATCGGTCTCCTCCGCCTGGGCGGCAAGACGTGCCTTGGTGAGGGCGATCTCCATCTTCTGCTTCTCCTCGATCTCCTTGAGCTTCATCTTCTTAAGCTGTTTGGGCTTGAGCGGGCCCTTGGGGGCGGCCGGCTCGGGCTTGGCGGCCACTACCGGCTCCTCCTCTTCTTCCTCGTCGTCCCAGTTGGCGGCGACCTTCTGCGTCTCCGTCACCGTCGGCACTTCGAACTCGTCGTCATCTGCAACAGTCAAACAAGGTGGATTGTGAGCGATTCAGAGCGAGTAAGACCATACATAGCACTGCGTTGCGCGCGCGAGACGCGGCGCTAGCAAGCGGTACTAGTAGATGCAAATATAAGTTGCAACACGCACCCCAGGAGTCCATCTTGGCTGGCTGCTGTATTCAATTTGCTTGCGCTTTGGTTGGCGTTTCCGCTTCTCTCCCTGTTCGATTATTGGCCTCCAGACAAGGTGCTGACGCATGCTCATATACAAACCTAAATTAGAGCACAAATAGCCTAATTTAGCGTTTTCCACATCAACAACTTATATCGTAATCCCCCTGTTTATTCCTTGCGAGTCTTAGGATATCTGTGCTTTTTCCTCACCGCAAGTCGATACATAGCTCATTAGAGCATCATGGTCTCAACCAGCGCCATGTTCCGCAAGGCTCCGCGCCGCGTCAGCCTCCTCAGGGCGCAGCAGCGTCGCCGATTCTCCCAGCAGCAGCAACAACAGCAGCAGCAGTCTAGCAATGGCGCTGCACCCTCGGGCAGCATCTTCTCTGGCAGCTGGAAGATCCCTGCCACCATGGGCTTTGCTCTCATCGGATTTTTGCAGTGGCAGCACCTGAACCATCCGACGGATGAGGAGCGCAAGACGCACCCAGCGCAAGCTTTGCGGCGTCTGCCTGGCGCACACACGGCGTTTGAGGACACGATGGCCACTGAGCGCCAGCTACAGTCGCTCAAGCTCTTCCCGTACCGAGCTGCAAGTCGCCTCTGGGGTGAAGTGCACGACAAGGAGCTGTACGATCACACCTACTTTTGCACACATCTGCAGCAGATCCTCATACTTTTGTGCTTTATGACTGAATGGCAGGCCGTTATGGATGCGCGAACCCGTCTATAAGGCGTGGACTGCCGTCTTCAACTGTAAACTGGACGAGATGAAGTACCCGTTGCAAGACTACGCCAACCTCGGCGAATTCTTCTCGCGCCCATTGAAGGAAGGCGCCCGGCCATTCGACACGGCTCCTGGTCATCTCGCCAGTCCGGTGGACGGCACAGTGGCCTCTATCGGTGTGGTGGACGACTCGACCAACATACCAACACTGGAGCAAATCAAGGGTGCGCGCTACCGACTCGACGAGTTCCTCGGCGATCTCCCCTCGTTCTTTACTAAAAACCCGTCTGCTTCTAAGGGCAAGAAAATGTTCCACTGTGTTCTGTACCTAGCCCCTGGCGATTACCATCGCATCCACGCTCCGGTGAACTGGCAGGTCGAGGAGCGCCGTCACTTCCCTGGAAACCTCTTCCCTGTCAACCAAACCGCTGCACGACTGATTCCGAGTCTCTTCGTGGAAAACGAGCGTGTTGCACTGCTGGGTGAATGGGAGCACGGCTTCTTCTCACTTACTGCGGTTGGCGCCACAAACGTGGGTTCCATTGTCATCACGAAGGAACCAGAATTCCGCACCAATACTGCCGCGCAAGACCCACTAGTGGGCCAGTGCATTACGAAGAACTACGGTGGCAAGGTGGACACAACTCGTGGCGAGGAGATGGCACAGTTTAAGGTGCGATGGTTTTATAGTTGCAGAGGTTGCGATACGCTAACGAACTCTTGTTGCGCGTACCACGCAGCTGGGCTCCACAGTCGTACTGGTTTTTGAGGCTCCTGAGTCGTTCCAGTTTACTATTAAACCGGGCGACAAGGTGAGTTATTGACGCTGTTCTTGGCTTGCAACACGGTTATTAACAGTAACTTGTGCATGTAATCACGCAGTTGATTTTGGGGAAATGCATCGGCAAAGTGGAGTAAATATCCACACCGACAACCTGCTGTGTTGCTGTTGATGTCCAAATGCAAAGTCAACTCGATGAACTCGTTAATGCGGTTTACCGCTTCTCAATTAGAGCAGCAATTTATGCCTGCGTGTGGCAGTTTGGATACCTAAGCTGCATTACAGCATTTAATGCCCTGCTTATCCAAGGATCATCACTTGAGCGCTTTTCACCCACTCGACCGTCTAGACGGACTTGCAACGAGGTCAGATACGACAGCCAGGGAATCAATCCCCGCGACCTCCCCAGGCTCGGCAACTTGGCCATAGGCGTGATCCTGGGAAGCAATCACCACGACTTCCCCAGCCGCGGCAGCTAGGCCATAGTCGTGATCCTGGATAGCACCCAGTGCCACGCCGGTTCTCACCATCTTCCGTCGCAAGGGCTTCATCCGCATCATCTTGCCACCAGGTGTGGCTTTCATCAATCACTGCCTCAGCATCGTCGGGTACCACCAACTCCGAGAGTCTAGTAGACTGCTCATCATCCGAGAGGCGACGCAAATGCGTGTCTACCAAAGCAACACGTTTCGTCATCACGAGGTTCAGTGTATAAGTCATCATTGAGAAGTTACATCACATCTTCCACTACCTTTCGTTTCCAGCCCGTTGGTGAAAAGCTCAACCAAGGCAGCTCCAATCGTAACGACCAGAAGAATCAAACCCTTCATTACGATGTCGATTACCTGGTACTCAAACACCTTTACGGTTTATTGTCTCTCATCGTAGATAGCAGATTA